CCCTTCGTTCGCCGCTATTTGTGGCTCTCCGCCACCTCTTTACATGCCAATAGCAAGGGACAGGGCTGAAACAAAAGGGCCACTTTTTGTTCACACTCGATACAGCTGCTCTCAGGGGTAACGCAACAGCTCTTGAATCGCGACTGTTTTAAGAGCCCCAGCATGTTTAGGTTTGCTTCTGCGGGCCCAGCGTGTTTCGCTAACCTGGTTCTTGGCGAAGCAGGTTTGTGCACAATACTTTGCTCTAATTCAAGAGGAAAGTCGTGCTGGGAGGTGTGTTTGATCTTCGGTTAAATACCGGTGGAAAACACTCCACAGGCCAAACGGCGGACAGGTGACCTACATAACCGTGCATATAACGAGTTAGCGCCGTCGTGCTCTCCGACGCCACCTTGTCACCCCATGTCCACTAGGGGGAGCTGTTGGACCAGAATTGAAAGGAGAAAATTCCGTCTTCTAACAAGAAAGGGGGGGGGGGAATGGGGTACTGGTCGCTGAGATGGGAGGGGCTGGTGTGCAAAATGAAAAGAAAAGCTATTTCACCTTGCACAACACCAGTCTTTTTTTTCTAGTGGTAAAGTATAGATGTTCCACTCCCTCGTTCCCCACCCTCTCCCCCACCTTGTACTATGCATCCAGGCATTCATTAGCACCCTAGCCTGCAGTCCGATAGGGACAGATATGCTCAAGAGAAGATGGGGGGCAAAATGGAGGATGGGACAGTGGATTCCAAAAAAAAGGACATTAATTTGTCCCTGCTATTAGCATATTCCCGGTTCCCTTCTTGACACCCGTTCACAGAAGGGAATTTAATAAAGATGCACCTTATCAAGCGTGGCAGATAACAGAAAGTGCCGGTGTTAGTGCCGCACAATACGCCTTAAACAGATTAGCTCGGGCAAGGTGGTGGTCCACCCATATGCAAGATAGACAGGGCCAGTGCGAGAGTGTGGGCTTCCAAATTTTTCTCCTCTCTATCGCCATATGATCAGCTGTCTGAGGATAACTGAATTGCGGCACAAAATGCCCATAACTAGTTATCAACGCTCTGTGTTAAAGTGCTAGGAGGCTGCTGATGTCTTCCAAACAAATAAAGTGTTTAAGAGCATGAGGTTTGGGGGGTGGGGGGTGTGGGGTGTGTCTGAGTTATAGAGATGCTGTGAAACTGCAGATGCTCCCAATTTAAACTGTGGATGTCCTCACTTGCCGGGGAAGGGGGATGGGGTGGGGGGTTGCACAGAATGCAATTAAGTCTTTTAATGCAGCATTGCACCAGCCTCAGATACATCATTAAAGTGGAGGAGGCATATCAGATGACTTTCAGCACTTTGCATATAGGGTGTGTGGGCCCGGGAGCCTTGTCAAGGTGTGTTAATGGCAGAGAATGAAGACGTCTGTTGTCGTCTACCTGTCATTCAGTACGTCATGTCACATCTCCAGCTCTTTTCATTTACTTCACAAGCATTACAACGTGCAAGTTTTTCATTTATGTAGACATATCTGCCTAAAGTTGAATTGGCTTTATTTTTCTGTGTGTGCACGATAAATATGTATAAGACTGGTAAAAACTAGTTAGACTTTACAGTAAGGTTGTATGTGTGCAATTAATTAAGGCAATAGATAAAAATGAACAATACTTGTACAGCATTATACAGAATGTATTTATTTATTTACTTACATAAAACTAGTAATTGATGAGCTAACAGCAATATTATAATAGCAACAGTAATAATAATAATTACAATAATAATATCAATGCATTTTTTTACATTTAATAAACAATGAACAATATAATTAATAATAATAATAACAATAATAAATGTATTCATGTTCATTAATTTAAAAAATATATTCATTAACATGAATAGTATAATAGTAATAATTATAATAGCAATAATTATAATTACATTTATTCATTAAGTCACATTGATAAATGTGAATTAATTAGTAACTATATAACTATAAATGTTAGCCTTTGTGTTTCAGAAACATTTTAGTGCTTAAATCTCTTTTCTATTCATATATTTGCATTTTATCCCATTCTTTTAGTCCTTCTCGAGTAAAAAAACATGAAAAAGATAAGCCTCAAATACGATTGCATCTTTTTCGGAGCTCACGGATCTCAGTCTTTAAGCGGTTTTTTCTCAATATTCCCAGAGAGGAGGACTGTATCAGCGCTTCACAGCTGTTGTTGTAAGCAGAGCGAAATTATGCATTTTAATAGTTGCCGGGCGTGTGCGGGCGACTCGTGTGTAATGGACGTTAATGGGCATCAGGGCCAGGGTGACCTCTGCTGAAGTGGAGGCGCACAGTTCCTCTCTGGTCCTGTCACTCGCTTCCAAATCAAAATGTGAACAAGTACAGCAATGTGTGTGTGTAAGGACGGGAAGTAGGAGGAAAAGAGTGAGAGAGCAGCAAAAGAGGGAGGCAGGGAAGAGGGGGGTGGAAGCTGTTAGCATTCCATTTTTATTATGACATTTCACAGTCATCCGATTTAATGTCCCCTGACCGGATTGTCCGGCTGGAGACGGTGGGCTTGAAATGTTATTTAGAGCATTGATAAAAGGTGAGCGCCTGCGAGATGACAGCGAGTCATAAGGCTCTGCGCGGTGACATTCATTTTCTCCACAACAGAGATGGAATAAGACGTCACGGTGACAAGCTGTCACTCAAGACACAGCCCCGCCATCTCACCCCTCCCCTTCTCTCCCTTTTCGGTCCCTACTGTCTGGTTGGGGGTTAGAAGGGGCTCTGTGTGTGTGTGCGCAAGTGTTTATGCGCTACCCCTTTCCTGTAATGGGACTAAACCGCTCTCCTTCTCAGCGTACCATATGAGTTGGCCTTGCCTTGCCTGCCCCAAAGCCGAGGGGGGTGGGAAAATATATTCTTCAGCCTTTCATTAAAAAAATAAAAAGGCCTCATCTCCTGAGCTTTTCAATCTCCTTGCCTGTCTTTTGAGGGGTCTGAAAAGCCAGCACCCTTTACAATTCTGAAATTCCTCTGCTATGGAAATGCACCAGCTCCCTCCCCCAAAAATCTGTCACTTTTCTTCAAGGCTGCAATAATCATAAATAACAAGCCTTTGATATCTACTTAGAAATCATGTATTGAATGTATGTGTAAAAATAAATTTCCCCCCTCAGTCATCACTTGATTTTTTTCCCCTCTCCACTCCTTTGCTATCAGAGGATTTTCAACAATAATATCATTCGTAACAGGCGAAGCCAGTCCGAGTGTATAATGAATTAAGTCTGCAGTCTGGCCCCGACTTGAGAAATTCAAATTATAATTATTCCTCTGGGTATGTGTAGGGCTTATTGCCAAAAAGAGAATTAAAGTGAGGTCTCCAGTGCTTTTGATGGCACACCAGTGAGATTGTGTCATCTCTATCAGTCCAGTTGCATTCACTCGAATTTCAAAGTGTCCGTCTGGAAATGTCACAAGTTTTGCTTGTGGCAACTTTTACTGCGGTCCATATAGAGGGCAGAGATGTACAGACATATTTTATTTAATTTAATGGACAGCTTTCCATTACTGTGCATTTGTTAGACACGGAAAGCTTTAATTCTCTGAGGTTGCTCTTTTATAGCTCAGCAGGAGACTTCTCAGCTTTGTTTCCCTTTTAACTTAGGAAAAAAGTCAAATAAATAATTAAGATATTTGTTAGAATAATAGTTTATACCTTACAATTTTGATATATTAGAGCTATGAAATATAATTCTATTTTAGAAAAAAAGTATTTTTCTAAATTAGATTCTTTTTTGTTGTTGTTGTTGAGATCTCTTTTGAACCTCCAGATTAGATATAATCAATACTAGGATCTTTTTTTTTCTCAGAAGAAAAATCCTAAGCAAAAGACTGTTTGCTCTCTATTAAATTTTTTTGTCTTTTTTTTTTTTTAGATATTTAATTACTAGGCGTGTTTTTGCTATTTTTTTTATTTGACAGAACTGTACACACTATAAAATGAGGAGAAAAACGAGTCGGGGGAGAGAGAGAGATTGCTCATGCTGTGGCCACACAGTTAGTGTGTGGTGCCTAGTTTGTTTCATGGCTAAATGTCAGCCCCTTTAATGCTACAAAAGATACACAAAGGAACTGTAATGGAGTATTATGGTCTCTCAATGAGAGGCTTTTATCAGTATGAGCGTAATTGACTAGCTCATAAATCATGCTTAAGTGTCTTTGCTGATGCACTTGACTTTGAGCAGTTTATCCACCTCCTGAACATTTACAGTTTTAGTGGCGTCTCTGCTAGTATTTTCTGTTTTTCCTATGCGTTTAATTTATCTGTTTGTTATCTGAAAATGAAAGAAATTCTTTTTCGGAAGAAACATGGATGTGAGTATAGACACATGCACTCTGGAAGAGAACTGACATAATTTAGATTTGACATCAGCATTGTTTAATTAGTTTTTATTACATTTTTTCCCTCTTCTCACTCATGTGAAATACCACATTTTACTTTTTATAAGCATTTGTGTTGTATATGTATCTGTATTTGTTCTAGATCGTGTGTAAGGATTTATCTTGGCTTCTTAAACAGGTTTATAAAGTTTCAACTATGACTGATTTAAAACAACGCAATATTCCTTTATCACAAATGTAGACAGATTGCTGGTTGACTTTCTAAAGCTTTCAAAGTATATACATAAAGTATTTAAATGCTAACGCCACACTTAAAAATGTTCAATGTCTTTGCATTATATAATGGAATATCGTTTCATATTTATTTCATATAGTACAAAGTGTCATTTAATGTATTTTAATGATATATAGCACAAACACAAGCAGTTTTCAGTTCAAAGAAAAGGTCTAGCATCATTTGTTTGCAGATGTCTCTTTCTGTATTATTTTGTCATTGTATGCAGTGAAAATTATACATTGTAAAGTAATTTAAGTGTTACAATTCTTCTTTGGACCACTGTATATTCTTCAGCTGTGTGGATATGGAGCTACTTATACTTTTCAAATGCTTTTTTCTTATTTGACCTCCGCAGAATCTGCTCAGATCCTTTCACAATATTAAAGACGTGGGCATGGTGCAGGTGAAGGTGATCCGAGCGGAGGGGCTGATGGCAGCTGATGTTACAGGTAAGAAAAACCCTCCCACACACACATACAGTGATCCTGACATATGCTTTCTCACTCTGTTTTCCGCAGTTACTGATAAAGGCTATCCTTTCCCTTGGAATGGTCAGCAGGAGGCTGATAATATTGAATTCTGCTCTGTGCTAATGGATCGCTGGCTTCTGAGATCACTGTGTCTCTTAAACATATTTTTTTCTTGTGCGTCTGCTCCGGTTTCCATTCATTCTTACTTTTAATTAGGTGTGCAGTGGACAGGCCTAGTTTCTGGCACTATAAATTATCAAGTTGAAAAAAAAAGAATAAGAGTTGATTCTTATTCCGAATCGGAGTGAGACATTAACAAACACACTTACCTTGGGTCATTTATTAATGCTACAACTGAATTAAAATTCATCTAAATGTATTAGTTTTTGTTCTTTTTCTGGCTGTTTTTCCTGGAAACTGTGACCTCATTGCAACTGAATCATCAGTTGTTCCTCAGCTTATGTGTTATATTCAAATAAGATATTTCTATGTGACTTTTAACATTTTTAAAGGAATACAATGCCATTCTAAAATTTGGGGTAAGTAATTTTTTTACTAGGCCATTTTTATATCTATCTATCTATCTATCTATCTATCTATCTATCTA